TGGTCTCTCTCTCTCTGGTCTCAACAGTGGCTCAGTGTGTAAAGCATTGGCCTTTGGGGCAGAAGGTTGTGGGTTCTATCCACCCACAAGACCTTCTCCACTGACTCCCACTATTATCTGCTCTCGTTGTGTCCTTGGGCAAGACACTTTACCCCACTTTGCCTGAAAAGAACCCAGACCATTTTTATGAATACACATGTGTAATTGTGTAATCATAAAACTGTAATTGCTCCACAGTGGGACGAATAAAGGATGATCCTCTCTCAGAGATGGAGGAGGTCCTGCTGGAGGAGGTCCTGCTCCGTGTGACTGACACTAAAGCACATGTGAAAACTATAGAACCAAACTGTTTTGAGAGTAAGGAATTCCGGGGTACAACTTTGATGATAATGATAAAAACTGTCATACAGTGCTTTCTCAGACACACAGTGATGATTAATACTACTGTAGCCACAGCTGCCCTGGGGCACACTGACAGAAGCGAGGCAACCAGTCTGTGCCATCGGCCCCTCCCACCACCACCAACCATTCACACACACCAGACTCATTCTAATGTGGGGGAAGTGTCTTGCCTAAGGACACAGCCACAGTTTGGCACTTTACAGCCACAGCCGCCCCACTGTGGCACCTGCTGTTCCCAGAGGTCTCCCATCACAGTACTAACCAGGCCCTGCCCTGCTTTGATTCAGGCTTGGCTTTCACCTGCAGGTTCTGATACGGTAAAAACAGGTATCAAACAAGTCAGTTATTGAAAGACTAATTTAGTAGGAAGTCAAAATAAAATAAAAATGAAGAAGTCAATTTACATCAAAAATGAACTCTTTTACAATAACAATAATAATGATGTTCGTCATTTCTGCCCGGGCTGAGGAACTGCGTCTGCCCGGGCTGAGGAGCTCCTTCTGCCCGGGCTGAGGAACTGCGTCTGCCCGGGCTGAGGAGCTCCGTCTGCCCGGGCTGAGGAACTGCGTCTGCCCGGGCTGAGGAGCTCCTTCTGCCCGGGCTGAGGAACTGCGTCTGCCCGGGCTGAGGAACTGCGTCTGCCCGGGCTGAGGGGCTCCGTCTGCCCGGGCTGAGGAGCTCCGTCTGCCCGGGCTGAGGGCTTCTCTCGTTACCTCGGATAAACTCCGCGGTCCCCGTGAGCTCTGAGTCCTCCCCGGTCCGGAACAGTGCGGACAGGATCGGGGAGTGTCGTAAGCCCTCTGCGGTCATGGCTGCGTCCTTCCCCCGGCTCTCCCAGCACTTCCCTCGGGGTTCGTATCCAACTTTCACCCCCAACTCTCTGGAGCTTTAGCCGTTAGCTTCGCGTTAGCAGCGCGGCTAACTTCGACACAATCCAAGAGACGCTTAAAAAAGTTTAAAAAGTAGTTGTTTATCCACCCATGGCCGGATGCTCTTGTCCGCAGGCGGAGGTGTTACTTTCTCCGGGTGTATTTGGGGGTTTTGGGGCTCAGAGAGCCGGTTTTGGGCATGTTTGGACGCGGCTCGATGAACTGAAGAGCGCGGCGTCTCTGATTGATCTGAGAGATGATCCCTCCTTAACACACGTAACCACGGCAACAGCAGGGGGCGGGGCGAGCGCCTCACCGGCCAATCAGAAGACAGTGTGATTAGGATGACACTAGTCATTTTAGAAACAGTACAGAGTAAACACGTCACACCACAACATGCTGCTTGCAGGTGAGAGCCAGATCCTGTCAGATCTCTGAAGCTAAGCAGGGCTGGGCCTGGTTAGTGTTGTGATGGGAGATGGGAGGTGCCACAGTGGGGCGGCTGTGGCTGTAAAGTGCCAAACTGTGGTTGTGTCCCTAAGTCAGACACTTCCCCCACATTATGGTGTGTGTGTGTGAGAATGGTTGGTGGTGGTGGTGGGAGGGGCTTCTGTCAGTGTGCCCCAGGGCAGCTGAGACCACGGTGTTTGGAGAGAGAGAATAATAATGTGAAAATATGAATGAAACCCAAGTTTCACCTCTGTGTGTCAGTCTCTGTCTTTTGTGATTGAGAGGCTCCTGTTTCAGTTTCCAGAGATTAAAATAACTACAATGGAAACATGAGGACAATGTCACCCTGGTCTGCGGCTCACAGGGACAGAGTCACAGGCGATATGCGACTGCATCATTTTGTTTGACTCCAGCACAGTTTAAGCTGCTCATGTGCTCATGGACAAAGTTTTGGCCTTTCTCTCCCCCCTGTCCGTCTGATCAGAGATGTTTTGTAAAGAGGAATGGGGAAAAACCTTCAGTCTCGAGATGTAGCTGTAGAGTCAAACAGACTGACAGTGAAGCATCTGAATGCTTAAAACTCATTATCTTTATGAAAACCACAGACATATTAAAGGGGTCCTCAATGTGCTGAGAGGAGAGAGAGCAGGGAGAGAGAGACCAGAGAGCGAGCAGGGAGAGAGAGAGAGACCAGAGAGAGAGAGAGAGAGAGACCAGAGAGAGAGAGCAGGGAGAGAGAGAGAGACCAGAGAGAGAGAGACCAGAGAGAGAGAGAGAGAGACCAGAGAGAGTGAGCAGGGAGAGAGAGAGAGACCAGAGAGAGAGAGAGAGAGAGAGAGACCAGAGAGAGAGAGCAGGGAGAGAGAGAGCAGGGAGAGAGAGAGACCAGAGAGAGAGAGCAGGGAGAGAGAGAGACCAGAGAGAGAGAGCAGGGAGAGAGAGAGACCAGAGAGAGAGAGAGAGGGAGAGAGAGCAGAGAGCAGAGCAGGGAGAGAGAGAGACCAGAGAGAAAGAGAGAGAGAGAGAAGGGAGAGAGACCAGAGAGAGAGAGCAGGGAGAGAGAGACCAGAGAGAGAGAGAGAGAGAAGGGAGAGAGACCAGAGAGAGAGAGCAGGGAGAGAGAGACCAGAGAGAGAGACCAGAGAGAGAGAGCAGGGAGAGAGAGAGACATGAACTAAAGGTTTGTCTCAGTTCTGTTGTTGCCTGAAAGTTACAGACCCCAGCTTTAAAATATAGACTTTAATACCATTCTCCAAACCTGCAATGAGCGAGATCCAGACTCTGTTGGGAGCAGGACCAGACCCCGGGGACCCAGGGTCGGATCCGGGTCTGAGGCCAGGGTTTAGTCCCTGGTTTAGTCCTGGTTTTGGTCCTGGGTTTAGTCCTGGGTTTAGTCCTGGTTTGGTCCCAGGAGGCTGCAGGATGCGCGGGTCGTCCTGGTCGTCCATGCCTCAGCTCCAGGGGGTCTTCAGGGCTGGCCTGGAGGGTCTAGACTGGGTGTGTTCAGGAGCAGGTCTAGATCCTGGTCCAGACCGTGAGAGTCTGAAGCGGATCTGCGGATCTAGTTTCATGGTTTCAAGTTTACAGCGCCTCATGTTTCAGACTCAGCAAAGACACAAACACATGAAGAGATTCAGACTTTCAATCAATGACTCTCTCGTCTCAGAACCAGGGTTTCTCTCACTGCAGAAGAGAGAACAGTAGAGTGAGGTCTTAAAGCTCGGTTACGTAACTTTCTGAGTTAAAACATTCAAACAACATGAAAATACATGTTCCTACTTAGTCAAAATAAACTGGACTAGGATAAGACCATCTTTGGAGGTCCGGGGCCTCCTCTGGGGCCTCCTCTCTCCGCTGCAGGTGCCTCAGGTCCTCAGGCAGACAGCTCCTCGGACGGCCCTTCCACTTATCTGTACTTAACCCTGTGTTTGTTTTGTTTTTAATAACCTTAAAGCACTTGAATTATTTTTGTAACAAAGAATAAATGTACAATTCTCCACAAACCTGACTCGTCCTGAGGACGAGGCAGAGAGAGAGAGACAGAGACAGAGAGGCACAGAGAGACAGAGGCACAGAGACAGAGGCACAGAGAGGCAGAGAGACAGAGGCAGACAGACAGAGGCAGAGAGGCAGAGAGACAGAGAGGCAGAGGCACAGAGAGACAGAGAGGCCGAGGCACAGAGAGACAGAGAGGCAGAGGCACAGAGAGACAGAGGCAGAGACAGAGAGACAGAGAGGCAGAGAGACAGAGAGACAGAGGCACAGAGAGACAGAGGCACAGAGAGACAGAGGCACAGAGAGGCAGAGAGACAGAGGCAGACAGACAGAGACAGAGGCAGACAGACAGAGGCAGAGAGGCAGAGAGACAGAGGCAGAGAGACAGAGGCACAGAGAGACAGAGGCACAGAGAGACAGAGAGGCAGAGAGGCAGAGAGACAGAGAGGCAGAGAGACAGAGACAGAGAGACAGACAGAGGCAGAGAGACAGAGGCAGAGAGACAGAGAGGCAGAGAGACAGAGAGAGGCAGAGAGACAGACAGAGGCAGAGAGACAGCGAGACAGAGGCAGAGAGACAGAGGCAGAGAGACAGAGAGACAGAGGCAGAGAGACAGAGAGGCAGAGAGACAGAGAGGCAGAGGCACAGAGAGACAGAGAGGCAGAGGCACAGAGAGACAGAGAGGCAGAGGCACAGAGAGACAGAGAGGCAGAGAGACAGAGGCAGAGACAGAGAGACAGAGAGGCAGAGAGACAGAGAGACAGAGGCACAGAGAGACAGAGGCACAGAGAGGCAGAGAGGCAGAGAGACAGAGGCAGAGGCAGAGAGGCAGAGAGGCAGAGAGACAGAGAGACAGAGGCACAGAGAGACAGAGGCACAGAGAGACAGAGAGGCAGAGAGGCAGAGAGACAGAGAGGCAGAGAGACAGAGAGAGAGAGACAGACAGAGGCAGAGAGACAGAGAGGCAGAGAGACAGAGAGAGGCAGAGAGACAGACAGAGGCAGAGAGACAGAGAGACAGACAGAGGCAGAGAGACAGAGAGACAGACAGAGGCAGAGAGACAGCGAGACAGAGGCAGAGAGACAGAGGCAGAGAGACAGAGGGACAGAGGCAGAGAGACAGAGAGGCAGAGAGACAGACAGAGGCAGAGAGACAGAGGCAGAGAGACAGAGGCAGAGAGACAGAGAGGCAGAGACAGAGAGGCAGAGAGACAGAGGCAGAGAGACAGAGGCAGAGAGACAGAGGCAGAGAGACAGCGAGACAGAGCGACAGAGAGGCAGAGACAGAGAGGCAGAGAGACAGAGAGGCAGAGAGACAGAGAGACAGAGGCAGAGATGCAGAGAGACAGAGGCAGAGATGCAGAGAGACAGAGGCACAGAGAGACAGAGAGGCAGAGGCACAGAGAGACAGAGAGGCAGAGGCACAGAGAGACAGAGAGGCAGAGGCACAGAGAGACAGAGGCAGAGAGACAGAGGCAGAGAGGCAGAGAGACAGAGAGGCAGAGAGACAGAGAGACAGAGAGGCAGAGAGACAGAGGCACAGAGAGACAGAGGCACAGAGAGACAGAGGCACAGAGAGGCAGAGAGGCAGAGAGACAGAGAGGCAGAGAGGCAGAGAGGCAGAGAGACAGAGGCAGACAGACAGAGGCAGAGAGGCAGAGAGACAGAGAGGCAGAGAGACAGAGGCAGAGAGACAGAGAGGCAGAGAGACAGAGACAGAGAGACAGACAGAGGCAGAGAGACAGAGGCAGAGAGACAGAGGCAGAGAGACAGAGAGAGGCAGAGAGACAGAGACAGAGGCAGAGAGACAGCGAGACAGAGGCAGAGAGGCAGAGACAGAGAGGCAGAGAGACAGAGGCAGAGAGACAGAGAGGCAGAGAGACAGACAGAGGCAGAGAGACAGAGAGACAGAGGCAGAGAGACAGAGAGGCAGAGAGACAGAGAGGCAGAGAGACAGACAGAGGCAGAGAGACAGAGAGGCAGAGAGACAGAGAGGCAGAGAGACAGAGAGGCAGAGACAGAGAGGCAGAGAGACAGAGGCAGAGAGACAGAGACAGAGGCAGAGACAGCGAGACAGAGAGACAGAGAGGCAGAGACAGAGAGGCAGAGAGACAGAGACAGAGAGGCAGAGAGACAGAGACAGAGAGGCAGAGAGACAGAGGCAGAGATGCAGAGAGACAGAGGCAGAGAGACAGAGACAGAGAGGCACAGAGAGACAGACAGAGAGGCACAGAGAGACAGACAGAGAGGCACAGAGAGACAGAGACAGAGAGGCACAGAGAGACAGAGAGACAGAGACAGAGAGGCACAGAGAGACAGAGACAGAGAGGCACAGAGAGACAGAGAGACAGAGAGGCACAGAGAGACAGAGAGACAGAGAGGCACAGAGAGACAGAGACAGAGAGGCACAGAGAGACAGAGACAGAGACAGAGAGACAGAGAGACAGAGAGGCAGTCAGTAGTAACAGCAGCAGTAGGTCAGCAGGGCAGTGACACGCTACACCTTTAAACTGTTTGACCGCGTCATGGAAACGGTCACATGACCTCCTCAGACTCTAGTTTTTTTAATTTATTTGAAACAGTTTTTATTTTTTCAGAGACAGAACTGGACACACATCTGTACAAACTCAAAGTAAACAACACAACCAGCTTTTAAACCATGTCTCACACACACACAAACACACACCCTTGCATAATGTTACATGTATTTTGCAGGTGGAAAATATTCCTCGGTAACCATGGTAACGGTTAAAAGTCAGATTAGAGTTCTGAGCTTCTGTAACTCCTCCAGTTTACACAACCACAGAGCATTTATGTGTGTGACATCACCACTATGTGACATCACCAGTGTGACATCACCATCATCTGTAGCAGTCTGTGCCACAGACTGCTACAGATGGACAATGCTAACATGCTACTGCTACAGATGGACAATGCTAACACGCTACTGCTACAGATGGACAATGCTAACATGCTACTGCTACAGATGGACAATGCTAACACGCTACTGCTACAGATGGACAATGCTAACACGCTACTGCTACAGATGGACAATGCTAACACGCTACCGTTACAGCACAAAGCTAACGCCATCAGAATAAATGCCCATATAAGGATATAAGCTTCATCAGCATTAAGGCTGAGAACACTGTGGTGATCTCACACTGGTGATGTCACACACATAAATGCTCTGTGGTTGTGTACTTAACAGACTTGTAAAGACGTGGAGTTACAGAAGCTCAGAACTCTCATCTGACTTTTGACTGTTACCATGGTTACCAAGGAATATTTCAGAGAGAGTCAAACTTCACCCATGAGCATTTCCCTATTGGGCTTCATTGTGATAGCGGGTTAGCCTGGAGCTGGCGAATTAGCCTGGAGCTGGCGAATTAGCCTGGAGCTAGAGGGTTAGCCTGGAGCTAGAGGGTTAGCCTGGAGCTAGAGGGTTAGCCTGGAGCTAGAGGGTTAGCCTGGAGCTGGCGAATTAGCCTGGAGCTAGCGAATTAGCCTGGAGCTAGAGGGTTAGCCTGGAGCTAGAGGGTTAGCCTGGAGCTAGAGGGTTAGCCTGGAGCTAGAGGGTTAGCCTGGAGCTAGAGGGTTAGCCTGGAGCTAGAGGGTTAGCCTGGAGCTAGAGGGTTAGCCTGGAGCTAGAGGGTTAGCCTGGAGCTAGAGGGTTAGCCTGGAGCTAGAGGGTTAGCCTGGAGCTAGAGGGTTAGCCTGGAGCTAGAGGGTTAGCCTGGAGCTAGAGGGTTAGCCTGGAGCTAGAGGGTTAGCCTGGAGCTAGA